TGGAAAAGGTTTTGTGGACATGTCCCCTTTCTGCGATTAGTGATTCATATGATACGCAAGCGTTGTTGTTTTCGCGTAAGAGCACGTCGCGGTGCGTACCGTATTCAACACTGTGAGGATTGAATTTGGAACATGTGGTTCCCGATCTTTTATCGCTAGAATTGGCAACGTCGCGGACACCGCCACTGGAGGTCGTCGCAATCGTTTGCATTCAACGTGATAAAAATGGGTTTCGAACGTGTACCATCGTTGGGATTTTTTTTTACAAAAGTAATGATTTACGGCCGGAAAAGCGTGGGGTTTGCTGCCTGATCGAAACTCAAATGTCTCGCACGCCAAACGTTCGACGTGAGCTTATGATTATCGTTTGCTGTTTATTCCTTCGTTTATTCATCCACGCTTGTGAGTATTGTTTTTTTAAAACGAAAAACGAATGTTGTCAATTCGATTTCGATTAGAATTTACTATTTTCAGGCACACATTGTCTGCGGTGACATTTTTGATAATTTCATATTTTTTCTTTTTCACTATAATATCGATCTATTCGGCCGCATTAACACGATTAGCTGGGTGCGTGTTCAATGCGTTTTCCCGTTCATGGTCAAACATGTATTTTGTTTTGTCCGCTCTTAAACATTCATATTACATAATTTATCGATATGGATCGCGAGGCTCTCCCGCTCGGTCATGCACCATAATATACTACAATACCGTTTCCTATAGTGGGTGCGGCGAGGGTTCGTTCGGATCGCAAGTCAAAATAATAAAACATATTTACGACGTCTACAGATAGGGAAGAGGGGTTATATACATATACGAAGGATCGTGTATACCTTATATGTATCACCAAACGCAGTAGAGACAGGCAACAGTCGTGTGTCACGTAAATTTATCGTTTAAAAAAATAAAAAAAAAACATATCTAGAACGGACATATGTTTTACATTAAAAATGTTTAACCGCGACACCGAAATTAATGGTTTTTAAGTTATTAAAGTATTTAATTAAGTTTAATAAATATCGTTGCGGATAATACCGAGTATTTGAATGTCATAAATTGCCGTGTAAATTATTTTATTACCACGAATAATTAAATCGGCTTTGACGGCGTCTTATGTTGTTGGTACGTACAAAGGTGCGCAGCAATGCGCATACATTTCATACAATTCAATAATTAGATTAGACTTGATATATTCGATTAGGAAAGTTCGTAGTCCGCTTGTTCGGAGTTTCAATTAAATAAAGTAAATCTATTAACTATTACGAACGATTTAATAATTCTAACCTAGATGAGAACTTGAAGCACTCAGAATCCCCTCTCCGTCGATATAGTATTAAAACGACTTATTACTTTCCAACCCTTCTCACTAAAATATATACCTTATAGTTGCGCTCTTTTATAGTGGTCCGAGTTTTGTGGTTTTGAATTAAACATATGAATGGAATCCGACAGTTTAACAACAGCTATTTTTACGGTTTCGAAAAATATACAACCGAAGTGAATGTCTTTCGTCACGTGCACGCGGATGATCGTTTTAAACGACGTTACAGGAGGAATTCAGCATTTTGTTGACTTCGGATCACGAAATCGACCGACCGGACGCGTCGGAAATATTTAAAAACACTGGACAAGTGTTGGAGGCAACAGAACGGATAGAGTGAGGGAGAAAGCGAGTGGGAAAGATCGAGACAGAGAGAGAAGTTAGAGCGTCGGATGGCTGTACAACGATATAAACATACGAATCGGTGCGAAACACACGTGGTCGCGGATGTCCGCAGATTACGCGGGGGGGGGGGGGGGAGGAGCACGCGCGGGCCATACTATAAGATTATAATATAAATTTATGCACGTGCGACGACGCGGATAAATATAACGCGTAGCGATGCATGTCGACGCGCGCAGAAGGCCCCTAATAATATGTGGTACCGCCCGAAGAACAACGGTGCACGGCGGCGAGTAAAAATGTATGGCTTTCAGTGTATTATTTGGCGAACGTCGCGGCGACCATGCCACAATCTGTCCCGGGGCGGTTACGCAAACGACCCGGAAAGACGCGAAAAATCCCGTGAAATAATAGTACTAGTAATATTTGTACGTCGATATTTCATAGTACACTCTTGCGGAAGGGTGGGCGGTCGTCGCGAAGGGATATATAATCGTGTTATGCGTGCACCGTAAATGATGTTGGGCACGAAGAGAGCCGAAAAACTCGTGTGCGCGCACCAAATAATACGAACACGTTGCACGGTTCGCCGTCGTCGTCCGTAGGGTTCGCGGTCTCGCGATTTCGCATCTTAGCCCGATCCGTGCGGACGGGTTATGGCGTAATACGCGCTGCGCCCGAGGTACCGTGAAACACGCGGTACAGCTATTGCTGTCGGTGTTATTATTGTTTCGTCTTGTTTTTCGCGTGTTCCTGCTCGTGCACCGCTCAACCGCTTACTACCGACTGCGACGAATTCAAACTGCCTGTATAATTATCGTTTCTCGGGCCCCGCGGGGTGCACCGGTACGCGCGCGCCGTGTAACGAACGGACATTTTTTACAACGTTATCAGGACCGGCATTTTCGCACGCGTCCGTTTATCGTACCGTTGAGATTGTTGCGCGGTTAACGTTGTATGGCGCACTTTGTATTTCATACGTTCACTTCGACATCGAAAGGCAAGATAATGCAGTGACACCTACGTTCCATTGTGTTGGGCCCGGCGCACGTTGAGACACAGGCGACGCAGCGCCGCGTAGTTTTCTGTAATCTATTAGTTAGAACGTACTAGCGCATATTGGGAGGCAGGGCAGGACAGAGCTGTGCCTGTGCCGACCTGCGTCGCGCAGTGTCCGCGACACAGATCACTGCACACGTGCCGTGCAGTTTTGGAAATAACGATATTACATAATCTTAAACTAAACTAAACTTGTTAATCAAGTCAAGCATTTTTAATAATTACGATGGAAGAAACTCTAATAGAAGCCGTCAGATATTACGATGTATTAAATGACACTAGACAAATTGAATTCACCGTGACTTTGTTTTCTCTTCATAAAATTACTTTTCCACGTTTTTTTTTTCTTTACTTAACGAATACAACAAAATTAATTCATCAAATTCGTCATCGGAATTTGATTCAGAACTTAAGTTTATTAAATTTTCGGCCATCATACTATTGCTCATGCTGGTAACTGTGCACAACAACTGTCAGTGAAACGTCAGAACTGCGTAGTAATATGCGCTCACTTAGGTAGCGCAGTGTTTCCTGCGCTGCGCTGACCTACGCTGCCCTGCGTCGCCTGCATCTGAATGTGCGCCGGGCCTGTTACTGTTGGTTATTTTTATTTATCATTCGTTTCAGGGCTGCAACGGTATCGCGACACGTTACCAGGGCGACCGTGATAAGACGATTCGCTAAACCATATAGTTTTCGTCGACGCTTAACAATATTTCAAAACTATTAGAGCCTAGTCATCATCATTAGCTGCTGTGGTTTCGTTACGACAATGTCTGATAAATATAGAATCGTTTTTGGGACAAAAAAGTTATAAAACATGGCGCTCGCCGTAAAACGATTAAAATCGGTAAAAAATGATTTTCTGCTCGTAAGAACGCTGTTCAAACACCTAGTACTACTCCTTCGGACCTCCGGTGTAAAAATGATTGAACGGGTTCCCGACGTAACGATCGTAATATACGTGTAATATATTTTTACAATATGTATATTGTGCACGAAAATATCTAATTTTTCAATCCCCCGTCGTCGCCGTCTTCCCCCCGACGAATACAAAACGCGGCGGCAGATTATTTTCCATTAAAATAATGTACGCGAAGTGATTGTGCTCGAAACGTTCCGGTGAAGTTTATCAAAGTGCCGTCATCGCGGCGGCCTTACGCTGCGAAAAAAGCGAGTAAAAAACGTGTTACGCTTTAAAGGGTATCATGGTAGTAAAATAATAAAATAAAAATGCGGAGGAGAACAGCGAGCGGTTCAAGTGGACAAAACGAGAAGATGGGAACGAGGCTAGAATCCTTTAGGAATTATTAAAAGCGTTCACGGGGAAACGGTAATAAATCCGTTGCTCTTTTCTGTTTGTTTAGCCGGCGGCGATATCGCGACTAATATCGCGTACGATAATAGTGTTCGAGTAAAAAGTGCGTAGGATCCAACTCGGTTGTATATGCGTAAATATTTAACATCTCCATAGACGGTTGCGAGTTTGGAGATGGATTTGTCTAGACCAGCGAAAAGCTGCGTGATAAATATTCTTACCGACGTGCGTGACGGATCTAATGTAATTTTATTGTTCGTGTCAAACTAAACACCGTCAAATGCGAATCATCGTTCATCCAGTACATGATTATTGTTATCCCGAATCGTGGTTCTCGAGAAAAACACATCCATAACGACGTAATCTTTGACACGCGTTTTACAATAAAATTCTTAATCAGTTAATATCGGAACAAATTATTTTCCAAGTTCAGAAAGTTTAGTTTAAAAAGTTTTGATTGTAGTCCATTCACGACAGTAAACGTTAACAGTCATGTCAACATATCTATGCTTATTTACATGCTTACGTTAGGTACTCGAACAGTGTTCTATTGCGTTTTAAATTTGAAACCAATGTGTTGAAATTCGAACAGCTTTGTTAATCGTATCTAGGTGACTGATCCATACGTGAGAAAAAAAGTCCGAGGACCATTGGTCCTAATAACTAATAACCTAATAACTAATGATTAGCTCAGTGTAAACGTATTACGACAACAATATTGCACTCTGCCGTATCGGCCGATGATAATATCTTCAAATGTCATATGTAGTCAAAATATTTGATCGAAACCTGTATACCGAGCTATCTGTTTTCTAGGCATGCCGACGCATAATAAATGATAACATCACAATATATTACGTGAACGTATACGTATATAATGTATACAGACTGATTCATGATTATGTCCGATCGCGGAGTGTATATTTTACATATTATGATTTATTATTATTAGCATTGTACTGTTGTTACCTTCGATCAACTGATCTAACATGCCGTATATGTGCGACGTTGCCTCGTCCGTCATTACCCATCCGCCGGTAGTGATCTCCAGTCGTCCTTCCGCCAGCAGTCTCTGAACCGCTTTCCTTTTGGTCGGGTGAGCGCTGAAACAACATAACACACGAATTGGCCGTTTATAAATCGATCTCGATGACATTTATTTTTACCACTTAAAACTATGATCAACAAAAAATAATTATGCACCTGCGGTTCAGTTTCGTTAAACATTTCAAACGGTTCATGGCGAATAACTGTACTAAAAATGTATTAATATTATTATTATTTTTTTTTTAATTTCCACAAACGTTTGACGGTTGGTTTCAAAATGAAAAATTGTTTTTGCCAAATATTTAATTATATCAACGGTACATGAATATTAAAACACGAGTAATTTAAAAAATTTCTCTGTATGAAAACACTAACTGCGCTCGTGCCGTAATCATTATATTATGACATGAATTCCCATAACATTGTCGGAACTATGTGTAAAAAATATATTAACATCTTACGGTGATTACAGATGAATACATGTACGTCAGTTGAACAATCCACTTTTGCTAGAGAGTGTGAGAAAAGTGGGATTTTGATAAAGATTTTGTGACTCGATAAAATAATAAATTCGATGAAAATTGATTGTTTCTAATGTATTGAACAAATTATAAAAACCAAAATCTTGCGAAAACAATTACTCGTTTCTTCGGGGTTATACAGTTAAAACATTAAAAGATTTAGGACTTGGGCTCAAAATATTCATAGCTTAATATAAGGTAATTTATGGTTAATTTGAGGTGGTTTCATTCGTTAAAAAACCATATTTAAAACTAATTACAACAACTGTAAGATTACAATTAGTTGATTTTAGATTTTTATTCCCCGGAATATAATTATTATTAGTTATCGATACACGAATCTTACATGTTTTAGTGATATTTAAGAATATTGAAGTGACGTACTAAACGCTTTGGAAAAACAACTGAAGTACTTAGTTCATCCTCCCTCCCATGACCAAATCGAATTTCAACTTTTGTACAGGTACATCCCAATTATAACTTATGTTAATCGTATCACCATATTAATGTATACCGTCTCTACCGGTACCGTTTACGAGTTAATCCAAATTGATGCACACGCTTTTGTGTATTTTTCATTTTCGTTGCATTTATCGTTTCGTATTTTTCAATCTAGTGTATACCCGTATACCGAGAATCTATTTATACGTAAATTCTTTATGCATATGTGTGTATAATATGTATTTCGATAACACTTTCTTATGCAAACACGCACCCCATTATATTATGGTAAAAATATTCTTCCCACCAATCATTATATATTATGTATACGTCTTACGGTTTTTATTATTTTTATTATTATTATTATTATTATTATTATTATTATTATTATTATTATATTGTATGGAATTATATGAAATTATTATTTCCAAATAATAATACAACGCTTTTCGCTGGAAACTCAACTATTGTTCGTTCCATAGTGCCCCCACGATTATACATATTAACCGTATAAGTATATACGTATAAATGCGTGCGTAGGAAAGCGCACAACAAAGATTGCAGAAAAGTGTATTGTATTACGCGATTAAACGAGGATTTGAACGCATAGATTGTGTAAGTCTAACGGAATAGCTAAACCGCGTATAATTAAACCATATAATATATTATATTCGCGTGCGCAGAACGAAAACTAAAGGGCCTATAACTGAGCGAACGCGCCGTATGTTCCTCTCAGAACAATATAATATTATTGCGGTCTATACAAGGTTTGACTTCTCAGTCCATCGCGTTTTGTCGTACATTATAAAAATGGTATATACGATTCGGCATCCGTCAAAAATAATATTAAAATATTGTTCACCGAAAAACGATTACGATAAAACAATATAGCGTTGAATTGTACGAAAAAAATTTAAATCGAGATCGAAATCAAACACCCAGTCAAAATTGATTTAGAAGACAATTGTTACCGTAAGTCTGTGCACGAAACCGATTTTAAAACGAGCGCGATGCGTGTGCGTATGTGTGTCCATATCGATATATTTTATTAGCGTTCGCGTTCCAACGGATATTTCCGATTAAATATTCGTGTCGGATAATAATTGTGGGTGGCGTTTAATGTGTATTACAATTTTATGCACGCGTACTACAGAGTCGTTTAAACACGTTCAACGTTTATAGCGCACATTTTCGGTCAGTTTATGGCGTTTCCAAGCAAATTGCTTTGTAATTTCAACCCATTTCCCCGCGATAGTGTTGCCTTGGAAAAAAATTGTTTTCTATTTACTACTTATTTTTATTTTTTCGACTTAATGATTCGTATGTCTTTACTCATTTTAACGACAACTATTCCGTAAATGTTTTACGAAAAATGTCGTTAGATAAAATACGAGTATTGGACTCGTAGTCAATATTGTTTATGAGCAGTCATTCGAATGTCATTAAAATGTGCAGTTTACCCATCAACGGTAAACTGCTACATAATGTGTTTCAATGAAAAAATCTCCCTGTCCACGCCATATCGAATCGCGTCGTTTCACGAGCAATATTCAAGAAGGAAAAATAAAATCGTCGTGTTGTAAGATTTTAAGTTGTTAATTATTCGTAAACAATACCGTTTCGAACTTTTCTTTTTACATATTAATTTGCAAACCCTTCGTCCGCGATTTTAACGTATTACGGATTTTTTTTTTTTTTTTTCATGCGCGTCGAATATAACGCCGTTTCAAACGTATAGCTGCACAGTACATGTGCATTCTTGTAAAACCGTCGTGGAAGCAATTTTAGTGTAATTGTCAAAAATGTTCACGTTTATTGTTGCTAGTTCGCACCGGAATAATTTTCGTTTCCTCGGCCGTGGCTGGCAAGCACACGAAAGAAAAATGACCACGGACAGCACCATTGTACTCACGGGGAAACGGTTATACGGAGTGTAATTTATACAGGATGGCTTCTACGTTATTATTGCACTTAGGAAATATAAGCTTATCTGTTCGGCGCGTGTGTGCGTGCTACGACCTGCTATTTTTTAACACCCCCACCACCTCTTGCCCACCGTACAAGAGATTTATTCGTCCAAAACGACCACGGTCTTGAGTCGCTTTTTTCCTAGTGGTTTTTTTATTTATTTTTTTTTTTAATTACCGACTTTTATTTTAGAGTTAAAAACAAAAACAGTTTTCACGCGACGAGAAAAATCTTTGAAAATATCTTTCCTTCAATTCCGCTAATAGGGGGGGGGGTCTTATGTTTTGGTCACCACCAATGCGAATACAACGTTTAACCTTTAAATTCATGCGTTGCTTTGATGATTCGAAAAGACGCCCAACGGTGAACGACCTATTAGTTAGGATGTTGATGACCTAAAAAACACACAAATATGCCCTAAAAACTTCAAAAAAATTACCTTAAAAATGATCTAAAAAACTAATTAAGTAAGTGAAATAAATGTATTTATAATAATAATTCTTATTCGAGATATGGATGTGATAACGGGTGTAATAGTAGTTTAAAATATGAATTATAAATTATAATATCAATAAACAAAAGTATACATTTACATTTTAAGCATTATATAATATTATTAACACTGACTCTAAAATCTAAAATTTTAGAAAAATGCCCCACATTGTACAAAACTACAAAAGATGACCTAAAAGATGAAAAAATGTTGAAATATGACGTTAAAAAACAAAAAAGTGCATTTATAGCTAAAAATGTCTAAAAATGCGAAAAAATGTAAAATAAAATTAGAATATTCTGCACCAAGGGAACATGAAACAAATTTTCGGCTAGGATAGCATTGTATAGAATCAAAGGATAAAAAATGCAAAAGTCATCAACATCCTAATTTTAGTTATTATTATTACGTAACGCGCGGGCGTTTCTCGGATATCGCGCGCGAACCGTACTCGGAAGTTGCGGAATGGTTATGACGGACGCGCGTTCGCGATTTTCTCCCACGTGCAACAGCCGTAACAAAGCGGCGATATCGATCCTATCCCGCAGGGGAGGGCCAAAGGGGCGATTGCCCCCTATTGGGAATTTTTGTTTCAAAACAATTGTTAATTTAATACTACACATATTATTTATAACATAATTTTATTGAGATCCATTTCAGAAGTTAAGTAAAATTTATTATATATTTAGATAAACTAAAATGTATAATCTTGAACGTATATATTAGTTTACAATGTTTACACATGACTGAATATCGCATCGCTTAAAACTTTAAATTCTCCCGAGTACCGATATTATAAATGGTATTTGATTTTGTTCTCATCTATTTTTAGATACACGTTGTTTTGGCCCTTAGAATCTTAATCTTGCCCTGCGGACGCGCTTGGTTCCTAACCGATTACCGTACACGTACCCACATGTTCCCAGGGACCGAAATCTAGTGCTAAACGTGTGCGCGCGCCACGGCCGTTTTGCGCTGCGAGGGATTCCGTCCGGCGGACGAAGGAATCCGACCGCGTGCGCACTTACGGCCGGTTCGACGAATTCACACCGTACCAAAACGTTTTGTTGAGCTCTCGGACTTCTCTGCGCGCAACGGTCGCGCACGAAATCCAATGCCATTCCGTAAGATGCATTTACATCACGCGTGTCGTCGCGGGACGATAATTTCATTTTCCTCGTTTTTAATATACATATACGAAAAAAATCACCAAAGGCGTAATTTTCCCCTATTTGTCGTCGTAAAACGGTCCGCAAATATTGACGGAGCTCGTTCTGAGCGTGCACATCATCAACGTTTCTGGCTCTCGAATTTTAATTTATCACCTACTAAAAATCAACGTACATTGTACACACGCAGTTATTGCGGCTCGTCACGTCGTAGATCGGACGCACCGCGAATATAAACAAACAGTTATTGTTGTTCCTATCCGTTTCTTACGTATATAGATGAGGTACGCATCGCGAATGGTCTTAATCGATTTTAGGCAATCGGTGCAAGAATAATATCGAACCGAGATTTATGCGATCGAATTATTATGTTTTTTATACGGCTTTCGAGGTCGTGAACTCTATGAACATTTGTATCTTATTTGCACGTTTCGACGGAAAACTTTGATTATTAATTTTATCGA